TTGTGCTGCCCCAGCCCCAGGGACGCTCTCCTTGTCTGCCCATTCCCCCACGGTCTCTGGGCAGGGATGGCCTCAGTGGGGGCTGTTGACATCCTCAGCACCTTGGAGGCTGCTGCTGAATTTTCCTGCTCCAGAAGCTTGTTCAGCCTTCAGCTCTTCAGTGCAGGAATTCAGTGTTCCAGGGCTCATTAACATTCAGAACACCTTAATGAGCCACGATTCTGTGAATAATTTGATTTTAATTTCCAAATATTTTCTGGTTAATAAGACATCTCTCAGTAGTATATCCACAGTGAATGAAATATATTTAAAAAGACAGTGAGAAAAGGTTTTTTAGGTCCTGTTTTGTTGTGCTTTTCCCCTGCGAATTCATTGATATGTTCAGTCTCCAATTGACACTGAATCCAAGTACCTCCTCATGCAGTTCGAACAGATATGAAAATCAAGACCCTTCATGGCTGACAATCAATCACAATTTGTCTCCGTGCCTTCCCCACCATTTCCCTCATCCAACCCCTGGCCCTCAGAGCAGCTGAGGAATGGAGTCACATCCAGGGGTGTCCCCAGGGCTCAGGATTGGGGCTAGGTCAGTTCAATCTCTTTATTGCTGATCTGGATGAGGCCATCGAGGGCACCCTCAGTCAGTTCCCAGATGAGCCCAAGCTGGGTGGGAGTGTGGCTGTGCTGGAGGGCAGGAAGCTCTGCAGAGGGATCTGGACAGGCTGGAGCCATCCACAGGCCCAGGACAATGGGATGAGGTTCACCAAGGCCAAGGGCCACGTCCTGCCCTGGGCTCACAACCACCCCAAATCCCTGGCTGTGCCCTGCCCCTGATCCAAAAGGCCTGTCCTGTTTCCTTCATCCCTGCATTGCCAGGGACTCTCTGGGACAAGGGACCTCTGCTCTGAATATAGAGGGAGGTGCAGGTGCCACCACTGGACTGGGAACCACAACTCATCAAGTTTGTGTCCTTTGGGGATCAGGAACTGGTGAGACTCAGAGGCACAGAAAGTTTCTCTTCATGGCCAAAAGACCATGATTGAAAAGGACACAATTTAATAACAAACATACTCTCCCCTGAGCTACGTGCAACATCACAGCAGCATCTGATGACTCCATCATACACAAGTGATATCCATACTAAAATTAATTTCAGACAAATGTGGTTCTGTGATAGATATAAACACAATTAAGTTCTTGTATCAGGATGCTCATCCTGGAATGGAGGCAAAACATCTTTAATAATTCCTGATTTGCAAAGTGGTCAGTGGTGGATGGAGAAGGGAGGTCAGGCTGCTCTTGGTGTTGAGGAAATTCTGAAAGCAGCCTGACTCATTTCATCTCCTCCTGTCCTGGCTGATTTCCCATCTTTCCCCTTCCACCCATTGGCTTTTGTCTCCCCCAGCCCCCTGTGAAGAGCCTGGCTCTGTGTTCTCCATCCCCTCCTTGCTGGCACTGCCAGGCTGGCATGAGAAGCACCTCAGCCTTCCCTGCTCCGGACTGGACCAGCCCAGCTCCCTCAGCCTCTGCTCACAGCCCAAGGGCTCCAGCCCCACCTTGGAGGCCCTTCCCAGACCCTGCTCCAGCTGCCAGACATCTTTCCTGCCCTGGGGAGCCCAAACCAGGCCTCAGTGACCTGGATAATCCCTGTGCTTGATGTCGTGGTCACACAGCCCTGGCCCCTTGTCCCCTGTCAGGCTCTGGGGTGGATCCTGTGGAACATCCTTTGGTGGAGGCTGTGGCTCCAGGTGGGCCGGGGGGATCCCGGGGGACAGGGACCCCACTGGGCATGGACAGCATTGGACTTGTTGGGAGAAACTGTGACGGGGAGCTGGGGCAGAGTGACCAACCCAGCGACCTGACACAGCCCTGCTGGGATGTCACACAGCCCCTCTGTGATGTCACAGCCTGCTCTGTGATGGCACAGCCCCATCTCTAATGTCACACAGCTGGTCCCTGATATCACAGCCAACTCTCTGATGTCAGACCTCTGCAGTGTGATGTCACAGCTGGCTCCGTGATTTCAGATTTCTGTCCTGTGATGTCTCAGAGTCAGTCTATCATGTCATACCTGCTCAATGACCCCACATGACCCACTCTGTGATGTCATAGCCCACTCTGTGACCTCATGTTACCAGATGAGAAATTGTCTTCACCAGATGAGCTGATACCTGGAGCTTGTTCTCCACAACCCCAGGCCTATGGAAACCACACAATGCCCATTGTGTGAGAAGGGGAACTGGAAGTTCAGCAGCCTCAGTGTCCTGCCAGCTCAGCCAGGCCCACTGGAACATTGGGGTCCACAACCACCAGGGACCACCAGAGAGACCCCCAGGACAGAAGAACACATGGGTAATGGTGAGGGAAAATATGTTAATGAGTTTGGGGAAATTATTATCATGAGTGTGTTTAGACCAGGACAATCAATGAATATGTGTACAAAATACAGAATATAAACAGAACCTTTCCTGTACTCAGCATGCATGGCTTTGGGAGGAGCTATCCCTGTGCATCCAGCTGAATAAAGAATGATGCTTCTTAATGCTACATTGGTGTTAAGGAGTTTTCTGTTTTACTGAATTTTTGGTAACACTCCCACTCCCAAGGAAAGCTCTGTCTGCTGCTGTTCACACACAGAGAAGGGCTGGTGGCAGATGTGGGGCTCGGAGGCTGCCTGGGGCACAGTGACCATGAAATAATCAAGTGTTCAATGTTCTGTGAAAGAAGGAGGGGAAGCAACAAAACTTCTGCACTGGAATTAGGAAGGGCAGACTTTGGCCTGTTTAGGATGCAGATCTGGGGAGTACCAAATCAGGTACTGATTTTTTTAAAGAGAAAGAGCCCTTAAAATCAAAGGTCTTCAGGAAGGACTGACACATTTCAAGAAAATAATTTTAAAGGGGAAGGAGCAGCCTGTAGCAGGGAGCCAAAATACAATCTAGTGAGGAAAATTACTGGCCTGGCTGCCCGTGGAGCTTTTGTGGGAACTCAGGGGAAAAAAGGACGGGCAATACGAGAAGTATTTAAGGATGTCCTTAGATTATCCGAAAGAAAATTAGAGAGGTGAAAGCTCTCTAATGAGAACTTAACCTGACCCATTCTTTAAAAAAAAAAAGTTTGTGGAAAAAAATATAAAGCAAAAGGAGGGATAAGGAGAACCACTACTGTTTATTGATTGCAGGGGGCAATATAGTAACTAAAGATAGGGAAAAGGCAAAGACACTTAACAGCGTGTTTGTCTCAATTTACAATATTAGGACAGTCTGTCCTCAGGACAAGTGTTCTCCTGAGCTGGTAGATGGGCACAGGAAGCAGAACAGCCCCTGTAATCCAGGAGGAAGCAGCTGCTGACCAGCTGAGCCACTCAGATGCTCACAGGTGTGTGGGATCAGATGGGATCCATCCTAGGGGGATAAGGGAGCTGGTGGATGAGCTTCCCAAGCTGCTTTCCATCATTTACCATCAGTGCTGGCTCAGCAGGGAGGTCCCAGAGCACTGGAGGTGACAATGTGAGCCCATCCCCAAGCAGGGCTGGAAGGTGGATCTGGAGAACTCCAGGCGTGTCAGCCTGACCTGGGTGCCCAGCAAGGTTATGGAACAGATCACCTTGAGTGCCATCACAGGGCACCCACAGGATGGCTGAGGGATCAGAGCCAGCCAGCGTGGATTTCAATGTCTGCATGAAATGGTCTGGATGAGGGGATTGTGTCCAGCATCAGCAAATTTGCAGATGACACCAAGCTGGTTGTGAGTGTGGATGTGCAGGAGGGTAGGAGGGCTCTGCAGAGGGACCTCGACAGGCTGGATCCAGGGCCCAAATCAAACAAGGTGAGGTTTAACAAGTCCCAGTGCCTGCACTTTGGCCTCAACAACCCCTGCAGCACTTCAGGCTGGGGACAGAGGGGCTGGAGAGCAGCCAGGCAGAAAGGGACGTGCAGGGACTGATGGACAGCAGGCTGGACATGAGCCAGCAGTGTGCCCAGGTGGGCAAGAAGGCCAATGGCTCCTGGCCTGGATCAGGAATGGTGTGGCCAGCAGGAGCAGGGCAGTGATTCTTCCTCTGTGCTGGGCACTAGATGGGCATCACCTTGAGTACTGTTTCCAGTTCTAGGCCCCCTAAGGCAATAGGAAGAAATTTGTAGCAGGAAGAGTAAAGAAAGCAGAGGTGAAGCCAGTTTAGGGGTGGCTGCCAGGCAGTCCTGGCTCTGAGCAACAGCGTCTGCAGTGGGACAGGAAACTCCCAGCTGATGGGAACAAACATTCTGGCTGACTGCAGAGGCCAGGACAAAGCTGAGTGGTTTCCCTGGTGTCCCCCAGCCCTTGCTGGCCCCAGGTGCTGATGGCATTTGTGCTCCCTCAGGTTCATGTCCCCACAGCCAGCCTGGGCCTGCTCTCAGGGGTTTTATGTGCTGAGCATTGGCCTGGGCATGTTCTTGAGAGAGCCTGGGCAAGGAGCCTGGAGCCCCCAGGGCCTGGCCTGAGGTGTCAGC